AGCAGGAAAATTGATAAAATGCTATATTCACACAATAGAATACTACATAGCAATGACAATGAACAAACTAGAGCTGCATGTATCGTATAGCTCACAAATATGCTAATGAAACAGCCATTAAAGAAAAATACATAAAGTTTTAACATATGCAAAATAATACTATATAGGGCTTAGAGATTTAAAAAAATGTATGTGGCAAGAATTTAAATACCAGGGGAATAATTCTTTCTGATGAGAAAGGGCAGGGGGATGCAGTTGGGAAGCAGCACAGCGGGGCTTCAACCATTTTGGTATTTCTTAGTCAGGTGGTGAGTACACTATTTCCTTAGACCATTATAGCAGTCAAATAATTCACTATAAGTGTTTTTATAAAGAAAGGATATCACAGTATATAAAATATCAAATCATGTTGTACACCTGAAATGTTATATGTCAATAATACTTCAGTTTTACACAGAAAGAAAAAAGAATAAATATCCGTGCTTTGTAGGATTTCGTTTTATTTAATTTTTCTAAAATATTTTATAGGAAGCAACCGATTTTGTGAGGATTGGATGCAGGCTTTTTTGAATGGTGCTGAAGGAGGTAACCCTTTTCTTTTTCGCCAAGTACTGGAGAACTTTAAACTAAAGGTAATTAATTGTCTGTGTGCCAAATGCCACATAATTTTTGTATGAATTTTAATTAGTACCAGTGACAGAGTAACAACTTTGCTTTACAGCTATAGTGTCTATTAAATAGGACATTCTCAAAATTAGAATCCTCAGAAGGCATTTACTTTATGTTTTTCAGTGGCTTCTCCATGCATATTGCATTTCCAGTTAACTGGGTTGAATGCTTGTTTATATCTCAGGGCCGTCAATGTTGTAATTTGTGACGTATCTTAGATGGAAAGCACGAAAAAGTGGCTCAATGCCTAAGGTTTCAAAATTCTAGTGGGGAAGAGTGTTGTCACCTTATTTAGGAGATCTTAGAAGTATTTTTACTTTATGTTAGATTTTGTTCTACCAAGGGCAAAGCATATTAGCAATAAAAATGAGGGAAATATTCAAAATAAAAAGCAAAAATCACGTTGAGTTGTCAGCTGGATAGAAGATATTTTTCAGGCTTTATTATTATCTCCGTAAACACATATTTAACTGGATACTCTTTCTCTAGGCCATACAAGACACAAATAATCTGAAGAGATTTATCCGACAGGCAGAAATGAACCATTACGCTTTGTTTAAGTGTTACATGTTCCTAAAGAACTGTGGTAGTGGAGATATCCTTTTGAAGATTGTTAAAGTGGAACATGAAGAAATGCCCGAAGCCAAAAGTGTGGTAGCCGTCCTTGAAGAATTTATGAAAGAAGCTCTTGCCCAAAGTTTTTGATCATGTTTTGAGTTAACTGTATTGTGAAGTTGTATATTTCAGCATTGGTGTTTGAAATTGCAGTTGTTATAAATTGTCATAGGATTGCTATTTAGGGTTATTTGAAATGCATTCTAGATGTTTCATTTTGTGCTTTTAAAAGTTAACTTAATTAGACATGAAAATCTGAGGAATGTCTTCACTGAGTCTTAGATAGGTGTGTATTGGAGTTGTGGAATTTTAGTACATTACTTGTCCCATAAATTCTAGACTTGACGGAGTTGTTGCTTAAAAAACTTCAGAGGTGATTTAGTGGCTTCCCTCAGGAGTTTGCTGCAGTATTTAGCAACCTTCTCAGAAAAATCACAATATTTCTCAATGTACGATAGCGTCTTAAAAACAAATATACTCCTAGTCTTAGGACAGATTAGCAACATGACACTGTTTCAAAGACAGATCATTCAGAGACAGTGCATCCTGTGGGTGCTTGATAAAATTTTTTTTTGTCTGATTAATAATGGCATGGATGATGAAGCAAGCTTTTAAGTCAGTATGCAAATAAATCATGAGTATGTAAGAAATTAAATGAGCTTTAAAAAACAGATGCATTAGCTTCAAGATAAAATATTGTCTCAGATGGAAAGCTACTGGAAAAGTGGTACCCATCATTTTTTTTTTTCATTCATTTGTTCACAGGTATTAGCTAAGAGCCTGTATTTTCTTTTTTCTTCAAATGAAAATGCTGGAGCTTTTAAATTGAATATTAAAAAAGAAACGTACGTTTTACAAGCAAACTGTAACATAAAGAACACAAACAGATTCTTTATATCAGAGTTACTCATTGATTTTAGTTTTTTGTACTTTTGTTAAAAGCTTCATATTGTTTTACTCTGAATCAGTTGAAGGTGCTCTCAGCGAGAGCCATTTAAAATTCCCATGGAAGCCAATTGTAGGCACACACATATGATTGCAGTTTGTTCTGCATAGCTCTTTAGTAAATCCATTTGATAATGGTTTTTGTTTACCAGATCAGAAGCCTTGTGTTCTCACTGCCTTTAGGATTCTTAGAGGAACACAAGTCCATAAAAAATCCTCTCCTAAACTCATATAAGTTCACATTAAGTGCTGAGTTTTAACTTTCAAAATGATTGACAATGGCCTGCTTTCTCTTCTACAGAAGTCTAGGGACATGACTCACTACGCCATTTCTTTTCCTTTAATGAGAAATACAATTTAGAATCTTCATAAAGGCTTTCATATGGTTTTAAACTTTAATAAGTTGATTGTAGGCAGTATAGAAAAATATCCAAGTAGCATTTTTATAGCATTAAATTAGGAATGACTACGGGAAATAAGCAGTTTTATGGTACTACCCTTGAATCTGACTTTTCTAATGTTCTTAGTTGCCCACTTGGAAATTAATTTTTTAAATTAAACATTAGGACATCAATATTTTAAATCTGGAAAACATTTTTCATTTTCAAATTCACATGTCATTCAAAAGTCTGTATCGTAAATGACATTTAAAAGCCAGTGTATTACCTGCTTCAAGTCACTAATGGATATAGTCAAGGTATAATTACGTATTCTTTATATGTACTTATATATATATATTTTGTAATGTAGGCTCACTGCATTCCATAGTTGTATACGGTAGTCTTATTTTTAAAATCTGTGACAAACTGTATCACTGCTGTAGACAAGGAAAATGGTGACATGGAATTAAATGTCTTTTTGGCCACGAAAAGAAACTCAAAGAGCTCATGACCAGAAACACGTACTGTATTCAAATCTTAAAAAGCTAATGTATTACCTTTTAAAGTTTTGAAAAGGATTGGTTCAGTGTGGAATACATTTATGTATCATTTGTGTGCTATACACCCAGAAGAAATGTATGTTTGTCATGTATCAAAATGGTTGCAGTTTATCTGTAATTATATTTGTAATAATAGTAAAAAAACAATTTAGCATCTCACCAATGCAGTCATTTTTATTTAAGTAGCTCAATTCTCAGGCCTGACATTTTTATTAATTCACAACAAGTTTATGGGGTAATTATTCTTGTTATGCTAAAGAATTTGTTGAAGAAAATCAAATCACCTGCTGGGATACATCTTTCTGCATTTTGCAAGAGGCATCGGGCAGGGTGTAAGAGCAATTTCCATCACAATGTTTTATTCATTGTCCAGTAAAGTTATACCTATAGAACTCAATAACTCAGGTCACTTCCTTTCACTCTCATTCGTTATTAACCATGACAGAACGCCTGTCCTTTACCAGAGGATCACTTATACCGGACTCCAGAAAAGCCTGCAGGCTTCTTGAAAATAAGATTCAGCCACTAGGACTACACTTTCCTAACCATTTGTCTTCTCAGTAATGGAAACCCTGCTGGCTTCAATGAAGTCTTTCCACTTGGAGGTAGGTCTAAGAAGGCGTCTCTAGTTTTATAATTGCTAATCTTCCTAAATGTAACTCACAGACTTTAAATTACTCTGAGTTGGCATAAATGCTAGATTCTGGAAATCAGGGGTGATAGAGAACAGTAATGAATTGATACCTGTGGATTTGTAAGTGAACTACTTCTAGAAGGCGACAAAGTGGAGATTCTGGTAAGTGAACACTGAGTGACTGTTCCAGGGTTCAATACTATTAATGGATGGCCCTAATAGAGTGAGGCTGGACCTTTAAACAAACACCCTGACACTTCTACAAATCTAGTGTCCTTGAAGTCCTATACAAACATCTGATGGCTGAGAGCATGAACTTTGGAACTAGGCAGTCTTAGGTATGAATCCAGCCAAGCTATATACTACCAGCAAGTTACTAAGCTTCCCTAAGCCTTCCTATCATGTGTAAATGTGGGGATGTTTATACTCGCTTCATACCATGTAGCTGTGCAATTAAATGAGAATATGTTGAAAATGCCTCCTCCAGTACCTAGCACATAGGAGGTACTCAGTAAATTGTCTCCATAATTACATTTTTGGTAAACATCTTAAGTTATCGGAAGAATGAGAATCTGGTAGAAGGGAGGAATCAGAAAAGTGAAGAGGGAAGTGATAGAAGGCCAAAGGCAAAGCTAACTAAACAGCTTTTAGCTGTCCAGGGAGCTTGCTTTTAAATGCCTCCGGTGATGGAGCCCAGAACTGACCCATGGGAACACTGGTGCTCAGACAGGGTCCCGACTTCCTTATAAGAAAGTCAGTTCACACTTTCAACATTAGTGGGTTCTTTGACCTTTAGCCTGAATTGCATTGCACAGTTCGTTCTGGGATGACTTCTGCAGCATTTAGAAATACTTTTCAATGATATACAGGAAACCGATGTGAAAGATCATTATGGGAAACAACTGCCACGCTGAATTTAACAGCGTAGTTTAACCCTCAAACGCAATTTAACGGGTACGAATGGCAAAACTACATACATGTCCATCGGCTTAGAAAAACTGGTGAAAACAATTCACTTTCCAGGCTGCATCCATTCAAAGCCCACCCAATCGTTAAACTTACCAAGCACCAGACTTTAATGTTTACGCTCCTCTTATTTTCCCCTTCTTTATGTGAACTGCCCGTGCCTTTTTATCTGAGAATATTGCTATCCCTTCCTCAAGATCAAGGTATTGAAAGCCCCTAGAAAGCCCTAAAGATTAGACTATTAAGGGAAAGAAGGAAGTAACTAGGAAATTTCAAAGATTCTTCCAATCATGGTAGTCAAACATCAATCTCTCATCAGGGTATAGAATAAGAGTGGAAGGGGAAGGTGGGGCACACACCAGACAGCTGGCACAGAGGTTCTTCATCTGAAGCCTCGGATCAGTTTGCTTATTCACAGCCACTCCTCCCCGAATTGTATACAAAATTGGCTCTCTGTGCATTTTTACGGGAAGAGAAATCATAGCTTTCATCAACTACTCAAAAGCGTTAGGTAATTAATTCAAGGAAGGTTAAGAACCACCAAGGTAGAAACACCAGCACCAAGAACCAATGCCTGATCTGTACTGTATAAATCAGACCCAGCCTTACTGCTGCTCACCCTCTCCCCGCACCCTGACCCAGACCGAGATGAAACAGGCCCCAACGCCAACCCTTCAGGTCACTTTCTGAATAACCGATGGCTTAAAAAAAAAATCTTTAATGGAATCTGTGCTCAAATAATATGTTACAACAAAAATATACAGAATGTACACAATACAAAAATATTTAGAAACAAACATTGCAGCTTGTGTTTTGTTTTGTTTTCCACTTACTCAAGTCCTTGTGGGGGGAAGTTCAGTGTTGGGCACTTTTTTAAGGCAGAGGAATATCAGCGCTTTCCAGCCAGCCCTGGGAGCAACGTGAATGATGCCGGGAAAGAGCATCCGCTGTGCCCGGGAACCTGCATTACTTGCAAATGAAACTGGACAGTGGGGAAAGATCTGGGCTTGGTGAGCAATGACTCCCCTAACCCTCTGGGCAAGAATAGTTCCAGAAATTGCGAGTCCTATTAGCTGGCAAAAGCGCCTCATTAGGGAGCTTTCCCTAATTAAAAAACGAGTGATTAATGGTGTCATTAAAGTGAAATTTCTCCTTTGAAGGTTTGTTTTCCTTTCCCCAGTTTCTGTGGTTCCTCCTCCTTTTAACGAATGAGCGAATATGTGGCTGCTGTTTGCAGAATCCCCAGGTTTCAATTTCTGTATAGTATGGATGAAAACCCACAGCCTGGAGGTTTACACCACCCTCAGCTTTCCGATACATGG